AGAGGAACTGAAGGATGCAGGGAGGAGGGGAAACTGAATTCAGGGTCATGGCAAAGCGGTGTCAAAGGGACAGGCCTAAGACAGAGCCGGCGAAGTCAGCCTCGCAGGCTAGTGGAGCTTAGAACCGTAAAAGCAAACACAGGGAAAGGGATCCATGTTGGGGTAAGAGTGGGCAGGTACCAACCCTTCTTCCCAGCAGTGGACAGCTCCTCTGGGCGGAGCTGGAGAGATTTAGAAATGCACAGTAAACCGGTTTCCTCTGAAACCGGCACTAGGAGCCCCTGGGCCAGGTGACCACTCGGTAACCTAACAAGCTCCGCTTCTGCTCGTTTGTGCAAGGCCGGGACAGAGAAGGAACTCAGCACCCCACCGCTGGGTTCTCCTGGACCCACACTTGGAGCTCTTTTTCTTGTTCTATTTCCAGAAGACTCCTCCCCTGTAACCTCCTTTCTTCCGGGATTTCATTCTTTGACTGTGTGAGGCAACGGACCCAGTCTGCAGGAGGACAGCTGTGTCGGCGGCATCTGCCAGCAGAGGGTGAGTCTGGGGGTGCTCTATGGGATGCCAACGGGGCCCCCGAGAACTTTCATAGGTTAGGTCAGGTCGGCTTCTGGGAGTGGGACCTGGGACAGTAATCGTGGGAGGAGACAGTGATAATAATAATAAATACGTATTAAGACAACCGTGTCACTTGTGTGATCTATAAATGGTCACTTCTGTTTTTTGAACTGCTTGTGACATTTTATCAGTTTATAACAATTTACCAGGGTCGTTCTTTCATTATACATCACACTGTCAAAATGAAAGATTTGTTTAGACGTTTACATCAATTTTTTAGACATTTGCTTTAATTCTTCTTGGATAATTTTTTTTCTCAAATTATAATTAATTCCCAACTGATTTTCACAGCAACAAAAGGGAACAGGAGCAATTCCTTGAAGCAGACTGCAACTGGGAAAACATTTTGCTTTTTCTATTAAATTCCTAGGATGTAGCCAGGCGTGGTGGCACACGCATGTAATCCCAGCATTGGGGAGGCTGAGGCAAGAGGATCATTTCGAGTTCGAGACCAGCCTGGGTTACAAAGTGAGCTCAAGGCCAGCCTGAACTGCATAGCGAGACCCTGCCTCAAAAAGACCACAAAAAAAAAAAAAAAATTCCTAGGATGTTAAAAAGTATACACACCTAAGAACTGGATCACAGCCTTATGAAAGTTTTTTTTTTTTTTCTGGAAATATTCCTTCGTTCATCTTTATTTCCCTTCTCCAAGCAAAAGAAAAGGCTGTTAAGGCAGGTTTCAAAGAGTTATTTCCTGGCACCTATAAATAAATAGCCTTACCAAAAGGAACCATTCAGTTTTTATAATACATCATAAAATGTGCAGTTAACGCATGGTTTAAACGAATACAGGTTACTTTTCATATTACTCTTGGCTAGGAAGAAGCACCCATACTGTCAGTCTCTTCAGAGCTCTCATTATCCTACTCTCTTCAGATATATTTTCCTCAAATTTGTTGAAGAGAATAAAAGTAATCAAAGTCAAAGTCAAAGTCAAGCATCTGTGCTTAAAATATAACCTGCCCACAGGACTGAAGTAGTTTTATTCCCAAGTCTCTATGGAATAATTTTTCATCTCTTTAGCCTCTAATGTGTCTTTGGAGCAGGGAGGTTACCCCCGAAGTACCCAAAAGCCCCAGGGCTTTCCTTAGCCGAAGAGGCCAAGGGGGAGGTCGGCTCTGCTTGCTCACCCTGGAAGGAGAAAGTCCCACCAGCCCCCGGCTGTGGTTCTCCATGCTGTCACAAGGTGTCGCTGTTGACGCTCAGCCTCTCGCAGGAGCCTGGGATGCCCGCGGTGGTCTAGGTTCATGTTTACAACTCTTTCCAGCCCGAAGCGTGGCGCGGGGGTGGGGCGGCTTGTCTTGGCCGTGGTTGTCCAATCTTAGCCACAGTCCATGCTGGCTCCAGGCTTCTACCTTCGAGTTGAGAGCAGTGCATGGGCCAAGATCCCCCATGGGCTCAACCTCAGGGGCCCCTGCTCCTCAGGTCGTCCGGGCACAGCTGGACAGGGACCCGCACTTTGCATGGAGGAGATCAGCGGAGGGTGAGAGTGGAGGGATTTTGCTTTGGCCCGATGTTGATCTATACAAGCCCAGGGCTCCTTACCCTCCAGGGTGGCACTCCAGCAGAGACAGGCCAAGCCCCACAAGCCAAAGTCCCAAGTTGGCCCAAACCCCAAGGGCAAGTCAATGGAACCCTGGTGGGCCACACTGGTATAATGGGGGGTGGCACAGATGATCCTCCTTCCAGAGGAAGAGCTCCTGCTCCCAGTGTCCTCACATCTCTGCCTTAACCAGGAGTTCCTATCCTGGGGATCAAGAGCAGGGTTTGTGGGGACATGAATTTGCTGGGGGGAAACACTACACACTCGCCTCCACTGACCTGCACGGAAGCGAGCCTGCCCCTCCGTTCCGTACCAGGACGCCGCACCATGGTGGTACAGACGGTGCCCACGGCCGGTGGATAGCACAGAATTTTCACATCACACCACAGTTGCTGCAGAGATTTCCGAGTGGCATTCCTGATTATCACTAATTGTGATAGTTCTCAGCCCTGTCGCTAGACCTTGTTCCGCAATGCCTAAATAAAGTGTGCAGTGGTGCAGCGGTGGCTGTATTTCGATATATTCTGTTTCCTGTTAAATCCCCAGTGATCACTCCATGCCGGTAAAAGCACTGTCCCTGGAGGTCCACAGGCTCCTGCAGGAGGAGGGGCTCCTCACTTCCAGGGGCTGCCTCTGGCTGCCCAGCCCAGCTGGTGGCCAACCTCCCTGCCCTGCTCCTGCTGCACTGGGAGCGAGAGATCTCCAAGGGCACCGAGGCCTCTGCCAGCCTTCTGGTTCCTTCAGCTCCCTGACCCACCCTAGCCTCCCTGCCTCCCCTTCCTCCCTTTCTCTCTCTCTCTTTCTTAGTTTGTTTGGTTTGGGGGATTGTTTTCCTTTTTTGTTTTGAGACAGGGTCCGTGCACCCACCTGGCTCCCTTCCGCAAGCGTTTCCAGGTGCCCGACCTCGGTTCACATCTGCGCTGGCAGCGCACACCTGCCTGCCCACCGCCACCGGAATCTGGTACCAAAGGTTTAAGAAAACAGCAGGGAAAGCGCAGCTGACTCCTGCTGCAGGAGGCGGCTCCTGGAGAACGCGGTGCCCCACAGTGTCCAGTCCACCCCGGGGGCAGGCGGCCTCCCCACTGCCCAGTACTTCCCGGAGCATCTGAGACATGCCTTATCCTGAGGCCAGGCCTCTGGAGCCAACCTTAACCACCCAGGGCCCCTGGCTTACAGGCCTCCCCCCAGCCCTTCAAGGGAACCCCACCTTCCTCCAGGGCCTACAGCTTGGTCTCGGGGTGGACGACATCACTGTTTTCGCTAAGCCAGGTTCAGTGGGTCTGAAATTCGCCAACTGAGAATTGGCTACCTGAACTGTCTGGGTTTAGGCAGATCTGGTCCGGTCCTGCACATCCTTCCCAAGGTCTGTGACCTGTGAGACACGGCGTGAAGGAGAAAGAACCGTGTGTGCGTCTGTGTGTGTCTGTGTGTGTGCGTGTGTGTGTGTGTGCATCTGTGTGTGCATGCATGCACACGCACAAGCGCAGACGTACAGTCCTCGGCCACCTGCATGAAGAGGGGCTTCTCAGAGGTCGTGCCCTTTGCAGATCGCCCTAAACCGCCCTGTGCGTGACTTGCTACACCTGGAGAGACGTGCTTTGGTTGCACTCATGGTGACAGCCCCAGAACAGAGGCTCTGCCTGAGCCACCAAGGTGAACTCAGAGCCCCTCCCCCAGGTCCCTTTGAAGTGACAGTGCCTGTGACACTGCCTCCCCCAGCTTCTGGCCCGCAGCTGGGCAGCCACCCGCCTCGCCGTGTAGGCTCCCATAGGCAGCGGACACCGGCTGACTGGGGGCGAGACGTGGGTTGTGACCCTCAGCTCCCAGCTCCAGGCTGCCACTATCTGCTCTAAAGTCCCCACGCCCTCAAGTGTCCGTCATGGCTCTGTCACGGGCTCCCCAGAGAGACGCGCCCCAGAGGCCAAGTGAGAGGAGACGGTGTCAGAGCGCCACCCCGCGCCGGCCCGAGCAGCACTGATGCGTGTCTGAGTCATGGCCCGCCTCAGAGGGGTTCTCAGAGTGGCCTCCTCAGGGCTGTGCTCTCCCCGGGGCCCCACGTAGCATGGCCGCCTCTCTGGGGCGCGTGGGGGACAGTGCAGTGGAGTCCCACGCAGTTGCTTTTAGGGGGCCTCTCTCTCCCTGCCTGGGGACGCTCGCTGTCCTCACACCCACCCAGGCAGCTCCCCAGCTTCCTGCTCAAGGGTCCATGAGCCAAAGCCTTTCCACCCCGACGAGTCTCTACAATGGCCCAGTGGGCCTCAGTCACTTAACTGTTTTTGCAATGACTGCTGACTCGTGACAACTCGAAACCAGGGTGAAAGCTTACACGTGGATGTTCCTGGTATCCCGCGGCCACTACACGGCATTAAAGTAATGATTTCAGCTCCATGGGTGCCCGGAGGAGGGGCGGGAGACACAGCTGGCAAACGCAGCGCTGCACGTGGACTGGCCTCCTCCACGTCAAATCCTCCTCGGGGACCCGGGGCACCAGTCAGTGCCTCGAGGATGGACAGAAAATGAGTGTCGAGGAGGGAGGATGTCCCAGATCAGCCCCGGCAGCCAGCGTATGGCTGTGCTGAGTTTAGATCTGGGGGAGACAGGCCTCAGGAGAAAGGGGTGGCCTGGGCCAGAAGCCAGCAGGTCACACCTACCAAGGGTTCCACACCTACAAGCTTCCCCTGGGAGGAGTCCAGAGGAAGGCTGAGCTTTAACCTGCTCCAGGACGCGCCCTGTAGCTTCACAGTCAGCATCCGGGCCGCTGAAAGGACCCGGATTGTCCGAACGCAGCTCTTCTCTGGAGCCGGAAAGTTAGCCCAAGACAAGCTCACACTGTGATGTACAAATCTGTTTATTGAGTCAATCAGATCAGCAGCATTGTTTTTCCAGTGATTGTGCTGGTTCCAGGGATGTACATACTGCAGGCGCATCCCGGGGTTTTCCGGGCTGGGAGTATAAATTAGGTCACATTTACAGTCACACGATAGCTTCGCTCCTTCATGGCTTTAGCAAGCAGGGATTTCAGCCTTTTCCAAGACCAGGTTCCAGTTTCCCGCCTCACTGGCTGGCATTTGCTGTAGGGTGGGCCCTCTGCTCTGACCCCGACCCCAACCCTGACCCTGACTGACCCTCCGCCCCCTCCGGCACTGCGAGCCGACTGCTGCTTGTGGCCCCGGGTCTGGACCTTGCTGTAGCGCAGCCACACGCCTGTAATCTGGACCTGTGTCCTTTCCGCAGCTCCTCGGGCCAGGAGTTCCCTGGGGAGGAGGAGGAGAAGGGACCACACTGCTCCGAGATGGGCCGGGGGTCCATGGTCACCACATCCGGCTCAAGCTGCCGGACCCCTCCAAGGACTGACCTTTGCAGTTCTGCCGTGATGATTCTGCTCTCGGGGTCCCCTGACTGTCGTGGACAGAGTCACCCTGCACAGACAAGGTTTCCGCCTGAACGTCACATGGGTGGACGCTCGGGGCCGCTGGGCCTTTGCTCCTCAGAGCCCACCAGGCCCTAAGCACGCAGAGAGCTCAAGTGTGCACGAGCGACACTTCTCAGTGCTGCGAGGATGGCTCCCAGCTCTGCCCCAGGCGGAGAGAAACCGGATGGGAGGGGTCCCCCCCAGCCCCACCCACCCGCTCTCACCCAAACCAGCCCCAGGTGCCTGCTCTAGATTCGGAGTCCACGGTGCTCACCATTACACCGTGGAGCCCACAAGGTGCCCTGTTCTACGCGGCAGTCTGGCTTTCACAGAGTGACCCAGCCGGTGTCCCTGTCCAGGATGGCCGTGGGCTAGCGCAGCCCGCAGGCAGGGAGAGGGGTGTCCGGGCTGGGGGCAGCGGGCTGGGGCGGGGCCTCCCCCGGGTCTGCAGAGCCCTGGCTGTGGCTGCGGTTCCTGGAGCTCTGGTCCTGCACGCGAGACTCCTCCATACCCGCTTCTACGCCTCTGTGCCACCTTCTCCCTTACCTTTCCTGCCAGCCACCTAGAGCGCCGCCGAGCATTGCCACAGGGGGCAGCTGGGACGCCCCTGCCCTTCGATGGCTCTCAGTCTGGGGGGAGGGTTTCGGACAGGAACTAGCCTTCCCTTTCCCCTTCCTGGTCACCCCGTCCGTCTCCACTGCCCTCGTGGCAGCCGGCCAGTCCCTCTCCCCTCCTCCTCCTCCCTGGCCCCTCGAGAGGCAGGTCCTAGGTCTTACCTAGATTGCCCTCTCTCCCCCTCAGCTACCCCCCGGCACCCCCCCTTGGCCCTCAGCTGAGCCTCTCATCCTCCAGGTCAGTCTCAGTTGCTTTTCCTCCTGAAACCTTAGCCCTGTGCCTATTGTCTCATTGATTTCTTCTCGTCCCACTCGCGCAAACCACCCTGAAATTTACCCTCTGAATCCCTTCACTCCGGACAGTTGGTCACCGGAAGACCGCCCCCACCGAGAGCATCAGCGGGGCCGGAGTGGATGGATGGATCCAAACAGCGCCCCTCCCGGGACTGCCGAAGCCCCTCGCTGTCTGTCTCAGGCTCACTTGTTTCCTCCCTGCCGGCCACCAGAGAGGACAGCTTCCCAGGCAAGGCCACCAGTGCCAGCTGCCCAGACAGGACCCAGGGGAGCGGGACAGACACTTCCTTCATTCTGCCACGGGTGCCCCTAGTCAAGATGGGTTCTTTCTCTCCGTCTTCGTGCCAGGTCTGAGGAGCAATTTCCCACTCTGTCCAAGTCAGGAAGCTGAGTGTGTTCAGGATGGGCACAGCGCCAGCACCCCCTGTGAGACACCGCAGTGGCAAAGGGAGAGGCGCTGTCCACTTCCAGCCCCGCCTCCTTCCCTCCCCCAGAGACGTCCTGGCCACCGGTGGCTCCAGGGTATCGCTAACGCCTTTCCACTCTGTCCACACTGACCTACACGTGCCCAGCACTTCCCCCATGGCCCGGCCCACACAGCCACATCAGCCCTTCCGTGTCCTTGGACCATGGGAAGGGTCAGCTTCCTCCCGAGCCTTTCTGAGGCCCGAAGGAGACAGACTTCCCAAACTCCTCTGTCTCTGCAGAATATTCTAATCAAACAGAGGGATGGGACAGTGGGAAAACAGCGTTTTTCAGATGCATCCTTTTCAAGCCTTCTGCTTCCTACTTTTCTGGACCTAGAATCGGAGAATCCGCCCGGCCCTTAGGTTCCCAGCAAAGCCCACGTGCCAGGCGATGTACATCCGGCCGCCCAGACAGTGTGGCCGGGTCTTTGGGTGCAGAGAGCAAAGGTGGTGTTCAGTGGGCATCGAAGGGGAGGGACACCAGCCGGAACAGGATGTCTCTCGGGGACACGGGAAGGGGGCGTTCTCCCTCCCTCAGCCCCTGGTAATCATGGTGTCCTGTCGGACCAGCTGGACCCGCGACAGGCGGCGGGCCACGATGTCCGCGCGGAACTCTTTGATGACGAAGTAGTAGCAGAAAACATCCAGGCAGCAGTTGACGTTGGAGAAACACATGGACAACTGCAAGAACAGGCTGATGCCCCGCCTGGCCCTGCACTCCACAATGAAGCCGTTCCTCACCAGGAACTGCAGGAAGAAAGCCAGGTGGACGGGAAGGAAGGAGACCACGAAGACGGCCAGGCTGGTGGCGATGGTCCAGATGCAGGCTCTGTGGTTGCAGTCCCGAAGGCCGAGCAGGATGCGGATGCTTCTGCAGGAGCAGAAGCCCATGATGGCCATGGGCAGGAGGAAGCCAAACACCTCCAGGGGGAAGAAGACCCTGGCGCTCCAGGTGCCGTCGGACATGTTGTGGAAGCACCTGTACTTCTCCACCTTCCCGTGGAAGCTGTAGATGGGGACGCTCCCCGTCCACACCAGCACCCAGATGACGCAGCAGGTCCCGAAGGTCTTGGTGGGGGACCGGAGGTGGCTGACCAGCATCGGGCACTGGATGGCCAGGAACCTGTCCAGGCTGATGCAGCAGATGGTGAAGACACTGCCGTACATGCTGATGAAGTAGAGACACTCGACCAGCGTGCAGAAGGCGGGCGACGGGGTCCGCACCTGCGACAGGACCATCTTGAACGGGAGCGACAGCACGAGCAGCAGGTCAAAGACAGCCAGGTTGATCATGTAGATGGAGGTGGCCGCGTAGCCGGGCCACTTCTTCTTCAGGAAGCTGCTGAAGCCACGGATGGCCAGCAGGTTGAGGAGCAGGCCCAGGAGGAAGGTGGGGATGTGGACGGCCATCTGCACGTTCTTCATCAGATCGTCCACGTCGCCGAACGAGCAGTTCTTGCTCGCGTTGTGCTGGCTCATGTTCCCCCCTGCAAGGTCAAGGCAGAAGTGATGGACTCAGACCACGTGGCTGGCGTGGAGGACACGTGCCCCGCACAGCAGCTCATGCTCACTCAATCACAAGGAGACAACACAGAGCCGAAGACCGATCCCTCACCGTGCTGCCCTAGCGCAGACACTGTTACCTGCTTATGCAGATGTTCTCGATTTACAGTGGTGTTCTATTCTGATAAACCCCTCATAAGGTACAAAACTTAGAAAATACATTTGAGCCGGGAGTGGTGGTGCACGCCTGTAATCCCAGCACTTGGGAGGCTGAAGCAGGAGGATTGCTGTGAGTTTGAGGCCAGGCTGTGCTACATAGCAACACCCTGTCTCAAAGAAACAAAAACGAACTTAAAAAATACATTAGATGCACTTACCTATGAGCAGCACAGCTCAGCCTAGGCCACACTAGACATGCAGGGAACACTTACCCACGCCTTAGACTGCCATCGGGCAAAACCATCAAACAGGAAGCTTATTTTATAGGTGAGTGTTGAGTAGCTCATGCAGCTTTATTTGTTGAATAAAGCAGAATTACTTTTTTTTCCTGGTACCAGGAATCGAACTCAGTACCTTGCACTTGCCAGGCAGGTGCTTGTACCACTGAGCTATATCCCCAGCCCTTTGTTGAATAAAGTACTGAAAGTGTAAAACAACATTTGTTTGGATACATGTTCTCACCATTTTAAAGTTGAAAAATTATAAGTCAAACTATGGCAAGTTGGTGGGGATTGTCTGCATATCATCTCAGGCTCATTTCTCTCTCTCCCTCTCTCTCTCCCTATCTCTCTCCCTCTCTCTCTGTCTGTCCTCTGTCTGTCTGTCTCTCTCTGTCTCTGTCTCTGTCTCTCTCTCTCTCTCAGTGTGTTACTATATTAGAGACTGGATCCAGGGCCTTCACACTGAGCTGCACCCCAGCCCTGTTTTTATTCTTGATTTTGAGACAAGGTATTGCTCAGTAGCTAAGCTGCCCAGGTTGGGCTCAAACCTGCCATCATCCTGCCTCAGCTTCCCAGAGTACTAGGATTACATATGGGAGTGCACTATCACTCTTGGCTTCATTGTCTTTTTCTACACACACACACACACACACACACACATTTTTTTGAGACACGGTCTATGTCGCTCAGGCTGGGCTTGAACTCACTATGTAGTCTAGCCTGATCCTTTTTTTTTTGTTTGTTTGTTTTGAGACAGAGTCTCACTGTGCAGTTCAGGCTGGCCTTGAGCTCACTATGTAGCCCAGGCTGGTCTCAAACTCCCAATGATCCTCCTGCCTCAGCCTCCTGAGTGCTGCGATTATAGGCCTACGCCACCAGACCAGTTAGCCTGATTTTGAACTCACTTCAATACTCCTGCCTCAACATCTTGAGTGCAGGAATTACAGATGTGGTGGCACCACACCTAGCTGACACACATATTCCTCAAAAAATGGGACCCTTCTATATGTGAATGTCTCTCCCTGCCTTCACTCAGAACCCCTGTTGAAAGCAGTAACAAGAGAAACCCTGACCCAAACGGGTTTAAGCAGAGCAAGAGAATTTCATGGAAAACGTGAAAACCAGGTAGGACTCCGCGCAGGTACTGCATGAAGAGGGATCCCAACGCTGCTTCCAAGGCTCGGCCCCTTTTGTCCACTGTCCCTGCTGCTGTCGTCACCCACTCTCCCTGGAGGTGAGCAGAGGCGACTCCACCCCTGGCTGTGGGGACCACTGTACCACGTTTCCCCACACAGGAAGTGGCTTGTTTAGCGGCTCAGGGACAGATGCCTGACCCAAGCAATGCATCTCTGCTTGGCTTCCTTCCTGTAAAGATCTGAAGTTCTGGAACCGCTGCTGCCTCTTGTCACCCTAGAGAGAAATCCAGGCAGGAAATGGAAGGCCGTGGAAGAAATGACAGCCCCGGAGAGTGCGGGGTAAGGGCCTGAGGTCTGGCCAGGGCCGGGACAGGCCTTTAGACAGGTAGGACAGTAGCACGGAGGAGCGAGGCAGGCAGTGCGGCTGCGCAGGGACGTGTCCCAGGCGGGATCAAAATGGGGTGCTCAACGCAGACCTCCAGAACCAGCGCTGCTGGGAAGAGAATTCAAACACGGCCCTTCTCAGCTGCCCCTGCTCCTCTCCGTCCTTTCCTCAAGGGACAGGTCCCAGACGCCAGTGCCAGGTGCCTGGGTGGCAAAGAAAGCTGTGCCTGGCCTGCGGGGCCCCGAGACGCACAGAATCTGTTTCCGGAGAACCCTGCCTTGGTGGCCGTGCAGTGATTGCTCACAGCTTAGAGTATTACACTGGGTTTTTCGAACTAAGAAATAGTCCGTGCACACAATAAGACATTCAAACAGTACAAGAGAATGTGCCGAAGACTGCCAGCCTCCCGCATCCTGGCGGCTGAGCTGCACCATCCAGAGGCGGCCATGGTTACGCGCTCTTGCATCTTTTTCCCCGAAATTTTCCCGAGTGTGTCATCTGCATGCGTGCATACATAGGATATCTTTAGAGTTTTGGATTTTTTGTTTATATTTGTTTTGTTTTTTGGTTTTTTGAGACAAGGTCTCGCTACGTAGTTCAGACTGGCCTTGAACTTGCAGTGATCCTCCTGTCTTTGCTTCCTGAGTGCTGGGATCACAGGCGTGTACCACCATGCCTGGCTCAAATTTTGGAAATATTACACCTACTGTTGCAGTCCTTGGTTTTCGCTTACCAATGCTTCTTGGAAATTGTTCCATATCTGTGTACATGATGCAATTTTTTCTCTTCCTTTCTTCCTTCCTTACTCCCTTTTTCTTCTTCTCCTTCTCCTTCTCTTCCTCTTTCTTCTTCTTCCACCTTCTCCCTTCTTTTTCTTTTTTATTGTTTGAGACAGAGTCTCGCTCTGTAGTCTAGGCTGGCCTCGAACTCACTATGTAGCTCAAACTGCCCTTGAACTCACATAGATCCTCCTGCCTCAGCTTCCTGAGTGCTGGGATTACAGGCCTGAGCCTCCATCCCAAGTACCCAGTACTACTTGTTCTGTCTAACAGTTGTATTGTATTCCATTGTGTGGCAGTACCATAACTCATCTAGCCAGTAGCTTATTAATGAGCTTAATGTTTAACTAAGAAACAAAAATTCCACAATAAATGTCCCTGAGACTTACATCTTTGCTACATAGTTATTGCTGAGAATTCCCATCCTGCTATTATTTCCCATCATTAAGCTCCCTAGGGAACCTAGGGTAAGAGACAATTCCAGCATTTTTAAGTGCATTGCCTTAATTAAAAAGAAAAGTATGTATTAGATAGGTGTTTACGGACGTATAGGTGCTCCGCGCTAAACATTTCGTGTATGCTGTTTGAGGTGGTGGTTTCTGAGTCTGCACTTGCCTGTATGTGCACTTCTCTCGGGGACCTAGGGGGAAATATCTCCTGGTGCTCACAGATTAGGGTCCCAGGGCCAGGGATACAGGTCAGCGGCACAGTGCCCGCCTGACAAGCACAAGGTCCTGAGTTTGATTCCTGGTCCCAAAAAAAAAAAAAGGATTAGGGTCCCGCAGGTGTGGAACAGCACCCCCTGGGGTTGTGCATTGGAATCTCTGGTGAGGCGGGTCCCAGACGCAGGCCCTGTGCTCGACTGTTTCTACTAGGGGCACCGAGCGTAGGCGCAGACGCCAGCCTGCCTCCTCTACGTGAAACACGCCAAATACCCATGGGCCTGTCTCAGAGACTAGCCGGGGTAACAAGGCAGCCACAGGTAAGTTTTATCCCAGGGAAAAAGCAAGCCCCAGTGCAGTGCAGGTCTAAATGAACCCTGTGACAACAGAGAGAGCAGGAAGCTTGGAGAAGTCACAGCAGCGGAAAACCAAGAAAGGAAAGAGAAGCACAAAGTTTACACTCAACAACATCCCCACCAAAAAAAAAACCACAGACAGGGCCCTCAGGCCGCGTGTTTGGGGCCGGGTCATGCTCAGGTGAACCCCTGGATGAATGAGTGTGGTGGCGCATGCCAGTGATCCCAGCACTGGGGAGGCTGAGGCAGGAAGATTGCTGAGAGTTCTTGGCCAGCCGGGGCTAAGTGGTGAATTCAAGGCCAGCCTGAACTACATAGTGAAACCCTGTCTCACAAAAATCAAAATAAATAAAGTGAAATATAAAATATGCTCAAAGACCAACCCAAGCCCAAATATGGCTGAATTAGAAAGAACAAAACATAATAACAAAGGGAGAAAAACGCCCTGACCAGAAGCAAACAACCTAGGACGCTGGGATGTGTGTGCTCTGACTGCAGCAGGAGCTCGTGTGGGGAACAGACCTGATGTGGCCGTCAGACTCTGGTCGGACTGTCTACCCTAAAGGGCATGCGGGCATCGCTGGCCGACTTCAAATGGAAGCTTCTCACCTGGGAATCTTTGAGGCCTGAGATAGCGCTCACTCTATGGGCCAGGAAAGAAAGAAATTAGGTTGAAAAAAAAAAATACTTCCAGCTACTGGCAGAAAGAGCAGAGAGAGGCCAGGGATATAGCTCAGTGGCACAAGCACCTGCCTGGCAAGTGCAAGGACCTGAGTTCGATTCCCGGTACCAAAAACAAAAATCAGAACAAAACAATACAAAAAAACAACAGAAAGAACAGAGAGCCTGAAATATTAATCCTCTGCATTCCCTCTGAAGGTCTAGGAAAAGACTTTTCAGAGAATCTTTAAAAATAAAAATCAGGGATGATGCCGGGGTAAGAGCAAAAGGCATAAACGCACTCAGGCTGCAGTCAGAGAGGAACTGGCAGCCCGGGAGGCGGGCCATGAGAAGCACCTGTCCCCACGTGTGGGGGTGACCTCCGCCTACCTTGCCGGGGCCGCCTGCCATGGCAACCACGGCTCCACACCACTCCACCAGCCACGCGGCGGGTGGCCGCGTCCCTTCAAGTCCTCTGAGAGGCAGGTAGCAGGATGGTGTTGGACACCCACAGCCTGGTTCGGCTCAGAGGAGCAGGAGAGGGTAGGAAGCCACAGGTCTGACCC